TCGGTCCATTAAGTCGTATACATTTCTTACCTTTATCACAGCTGGACCTCGTCAGTACGACGGCTGCGGCAACTATATATTTTTTGTTAAGATTGAAAAATGATTAAAGTAAAAAGTAAAAAGTTAAAAGAATTAAGTAATGATAATGATTTTGAAATAGAATAATAGAAGCATTAAAGCATGTCAGCACTGGAACTGGGACTGTACCTGAATTTTCGATTGTCCTTTGAAACAACAGCAACTTCCACTTCAGCAGCTTTTAAATCGACGCCTAAAGACGTTTGCAGACACTCAAGCGCCAGCTGCAACATGTAAAAAGTGTCAATTACAGTGCTAAAAGTTATTTTCGAGAAAAGCGAATTGTGAGACACATTCAGGGGTTTTTTTCCTGCAAAACAGCAAGATACTACTGAATTCCAAGGCCATTGAAAACTTGCCAGTGCAAGTCTTCTAGCAACGATTGCCGTTAAGAAGAAGTTGTCCTAGCAGCTGGGCTAGAGGATAAACAGATGGGAAATGATGATTTATCTAGCACATTTTCCTAAATGTACAGAAAAAAAGCAAGGAATCGCCATAACGTCATTGCGTTAGACGCTCGATAATACAGCGTCGCGCATGGGCAAACACGGCAAAGCTGATAGCTACATCACAGCGCAAAATTAAACTGTAAAAAACAAACAAAGCTAAAAGAAATATCAAAAATTTGTATGAAAAACATTCTTATGACTACTCCGAATACCTCGGCCCGTGAGTGTTCACTACACATACTCAAGAGTTGGGTTTGAGCTAAATGAAACTTAGGTAGACGGGGTATATCCTCTTAAAGTTATAGTCCTTTAGCTTCTCAGATCTCCGAGTTACGAACTTACCCGAAAAAAGTTTGCAAATTTTGAGATTTGCTTGGCAAGGCGTGTGCGTGCATTTCATTAAAGCATACGCTCAAGATGTTTTGCCCTACAGATGTGTATTACGCAGCGATGGGATTTTCGCCGTGTTTCAAGTTATAAAAAAACTGAAAAAAAGCAAATAAAATTGCGAAACTTGTTTTAAAGTCAACGATGATTTCTTTTCCGAACCTATTACAAAAGCAGCAAACCTGCACTGCAACATCGTAAGTGAAATCGTTTTTCTTCTTCAGTTTCTTTTCCAAAAAACTGTTCGCCGGTTGCTGTTTCACTCCAACGCTAACACCACGCATTCCACGATAATATCCGGCTGGATCCACTCGATAAATCTGCGGCCCTTCTTCCTCATCGTACGAGATCAACAGCATCACTGGCAAGGAGGTAATGTTTACTTTTGAAAAAGAAAGACCGAGCAGCAAATGCTTGCCGTCCTAATGATGGCTATCCATCAGAACAGCAACAAGGGATCGTCCTCTTTTTCTTGATCGGAAAAG